TCAACAAAAAGATATAAAAAAGAATCAAACAGAAATCTTAGAACTAAAGAACTTAATGAATAACATAAAAATACAATCAAGAATTTCAAAAATAGATTAGACAAAGCAGAAGAAAGAATTTCTGAACTTGAAGATAGTTTTTTCTTTTAAAAATAACCCAGTCAGAAAGAGAAGAAAAGAAAAGAAAAAGAATGAAGAAAGCCTACATGACATATGGGACACTGTAAAGCAACCAAATATTCAAATTTTGGGAATTCCAGAAGGAAAAAAGATGGGCAAAGGCATAGAAAATCTATTTAACAAAATAATAACTGAAAACTTCTCAAGTGTTGCAAGAGACATAGACACCAAACATAGGAAGCTCAAAGATCCCCAAATAGATTCAACCCCAAAAGGTCTTCTCCAAGGCACATTATTGTCAAACTGTCAAAAATCAAATACAAAGAGAAAACTCTAAAAACAGTAAGAGAGAAGTATTAAGTCACATATAAGGAAATCCTCATCAGAATAACAATGGATTTCTCAGCAGAAACCTTACAGGCCAGGAAAGAATGGGATAATATATTCAAAGTGCTGAAAGGGAAAAAAAACACATCTAGCCAAGAATACTATGCCCAGTAAAGCTATCATTCAAGAGTGAAGGCAAAACAGTCTTTCCCAGACAGCCAAAACTGAGCAAATTCATTACCACTAGACTGGCCCTACAAGAAATGCTTAAGGGAGTCCTATATCTGGAAGTGAAAGTAAATGTCTACCATCATGAAAACATATGAAAGTATAAAATACACTGGAAGAGCAGATATATAAAGGAGAAAGAAAAAGGAGTAAAATGTTATTATTACAGAAAATCACAAAATTGCAATGATAAACAATAAGAGAGGAAGAAAGAAAGGCTATAGAATACCAGAAAACAATTAACAAAATGACAGAAATAAGTTCTCATTTATCAATAATAACCTTGAATGTAAATAGCTTAAATTCTCCACTTAAAAGATATATACTGGTTGAACAGATTAAAAAAAAAAAAAACCTGAACCAATTACATGCTGCCTACAAGAAACTAACTTCACCTGTAAAGATACATATAAACTGAAACTGAAGGGATAGAGAAAGATATTCCATACAAATAGAAACCAAAAGTGAGCAAGAGTGACTATACTTATATAAAACAGACTTTAAGTCAAAACTGTAGAAAGAAAGAGACAAAGAAGGTCTTTATATAATGATAAAGGTATCGTTTCAGCAAGAAGATATATTTAATAACAATTCTAAATATATAAGCACCCAGCTATATAAAGCAAATATTAGATCTAAAGGGAGAGGTATAATTTAATACAATATTAACTGGGGATTTCAACACCCAACTCTTAGCACTGGACATATCTTCTAAACAGAAAATCAAAAAAGAAACATTAGATTTAATCTGCACTTTAGACCAAATGGACATAAAAGACATTTACAAAACATTTCATCCAACAGCTGCAGAATATACACACTCATCAGCACATGGAACATTCTCCAGGATAGACCATATGTTAGGCCTCAAAACAAAATTTTTAAAAACTGAAATTATGTAAAGTATCTCATCTGACCATACTAGAAATCAATAAAGACAGGAATTTTGGAAACTGTACCAATACATGGAAATTAAACAACATGCTCCTGAATGACCACTGAGTCAATGAAGAAATTAAGAAGGAAATAAAAAAAAATTTCTTGAAACAAATGAAAATGGAATACAACATACCAAAAATCTATGGGATACACCAAAAACAGTGCTAAGAGGAAAGTTTATGCAATAAATGTCTGTATCAAAAAAGTAGAATGATTTCAAATAAACAATCTAATGGTGTACCTCAAGGAAATAGAAAAGCAAGAACAAATCAAACCCAAAATTAGTAAAAGGAAAGAAATATTAAAGATCAGAACAGAACTAAACAAAATCGAGACTAAGTAAAAATACAAGTGATCAAAAAATGAAAAGTTGATTTTTTGAAAAGTTAAATAAAACTAATAAACTGCTAGCTAGAATAATCTAGAAAAAAAAAAGAGAGAAGACCCAAACAAAATCAGAAGTGAAAAAGGAGACATTATAACGAAAACCACAGAAATATAAAGTATCATTAGAGGCTACTATGAACAATTATGCACTAAAAAATTAGAGAACCTAGAGGACATGGATAAATTCCTGGACACATACAACCTGCCAAGATTGAACTGGCAAGAAGTAGAAAACCCAGACAGACCAATAACAAGTAACAAAACTGAATCAGTAATAAAAAGTCTTCCAACAAAGCAAAGTTGGATGGCTTTACTATTGAATTCTACCAAACTTATAAAGAACTAACGTTAATTCTTTTCAAACTATTTCAAAAAATTGAAGAGGAAGGACTTTTTCCTAACTCATTCTATGAGGTCAGCATTACCCTGATATCCAAACCAGACAAGAACATAAGAGAAAAAGAGTACTACAGGCCAATATCTTTGATGAAGATAGATACAAAAATCCTCAACAAAATACTAGCAAACTGAGTCCAACAACACATCAAAAAATTGCAGGTGACACCACGGCACTCACTCTAGCCTAGGCAAGAAAGCGAGACTCTGTCTCAAAAAAAAAAAAAAAAAAAAAAAAAATTGCAGGGATGCAAGGACGGTTCAACATGAACAAATCAATAAATGTGACATATCACATCAATAGAATAAAGGACAAAAAACCATATGATCATCTCAATATATGCAGGAAAAGCATTTGATAAAATTCAACATTCCTTCATGAAAAAATTCTCAATAAATAAGCATAAAAGAAAGATACCTTAACATAATAAAGTCCATCTATGATAAACCCAAAGCTAACATACTGAATGAGGAAAAGTTGAAAGCCTTTCCTCTACGAACTGGAACAAGACAAAGATACTCATTTTCACCACTATTATTCAACATAGTACTGGAAGTCCTAGCCAGAGCAATTAGGCAAGAGAAACAAACAAAATGCATCCAAATTGGAAAAGAGAAGTCCAATTGTCCCTCTTTGCAGATGACATGATCATATATTTAGAAAAACCTAGACTCCACCCAAACCCTCTTAGTACTGATAAATGAATTCAGTAAAATTGTAATAGACAAAATCAACATACAAAAATCAGTAGCATGTCTACACACTAACAATAAACTAGCTGAAAAAGAAACCAAGAAAGCAATTCCCTTTATAGTAGCTGCAAAAAAATAAATAAAATACCTAGGAATTAATTTAACCAAGGAGGTGAAAACCTCTGCAAGGAAAACTACAAAACACTTATGAAAAAAATTGACAAGATCACAAACAAATGAAAAGACATCTCATGCTTATGGATCAGAAGAATTAACATTGTTAAAATGATCATATTACTCACAGCAATCTAAAGATTGAATGCAATTCCTAGCAAAATACCAATAACATTCTTTTTTTTTTTCTTTGTTTTTTTTTTTTTTTTTTTTTGAGACAGAGTCTCACTTTGTTGCCCAGGCTAGAGTGAGTGCCATGGCGTCAGCCTAGCTCACAGCAACCTCAAACTCCTGGGCTCAGGCAATCCTCCTGTCTCAACCTCCCAAGTAGCTGGTACAGGCATGTGCCACCATGCCCGGCTAATTTTTTGTATATATATTTTTAGTTGTCCAATTAATTTCTTTCTATTTTTAGTAGAGACAGGGTCTTGCTCAGGCTGGTTTTGAACTCCTGACCTCAAGCAATCCGCCCGCCTCGGCCTCCCAGAGTGCTAGGATTACAGGCGTGAGCCACCGTGCCCGGCCAACATTCTTTATAGAAGTAGGAAAATAATCCTAAAATTCATCTGGAACCACAAAAGATCCTTAATAGTCAAAGCAATACTGAGCAAAAGAGCAATGCTGGAGGTATCACATTACCTGACTTCAGAATACACTACAAAGCTACAGTAAACAAAACAGCATGGTATTGGTATAAAAACAGACACATAGACCAATGGAAGAGAATACCTAGTCATAAATCCATATATATATACAGCCAACTGATTTTGACAAAGGCATATAGAACATACATTAGGGAGGGGACACCCTCATCAATAAATAGTGCTGGGAAAACTGGATATCTGTATGTAGAAGAATGAAACTAGACCCCTATGTCTCACGACATACAAAATCAACCCTGCCTTCTCCTTCTTCCTACCTCTATTCTTTCGTTCTTTACAAGGAAATTGCACATCTGTAAACCTTACCACTCTCGCTATTCTGATCTGGATCATTGTGTCCTGTTCGTACTAAAGTGTTCTCCTTACTTTAAAGCCCTTCAATGTCCACAGGAAAACAGCAGTGACATTCGAGGCCCTTCTTAATCTTTTTTTGCCCCATCTAACTTTGTCTTCAGCCTGCATACCATTCTGCCAAGAGCATCTCCTCCCACCTCTACATGATGCATATTGAACTTTTAACTCAACATGACTCCCTCACTCAGTAGGGATTTAATCTTTCTCATCTGTGTCTCCTTGCTGCCCAACACAGTGGCTGGAACACGGGACACTGATGTTCTAAAGATAACAGCGAACACGTGTTGAGTGCCTACTGGATATGTGGGTATGGAACTAGGGCATAAGCTCAGTGCTCCTCTCCCAGAAAACAGCTCTGCCCCAGTCCTCTGCAGAGGGGTGGCCACAGGTGGTCACTTTCTACACCATGAAACCTCACTCCTGGACCACTGACGCCCAAACCAGCGGTGAGAGAGGACTCGAGATTGGCCCAGGAAGGGCCCGACTGGAAAAGTCCCGCCCCCCCCATCAGGGTTGATGGTGATTGGCTGGGCATATCAGAATCTCTCCTGGGAATTTTAACTGGAAGAGGTGAGACTGGGTTAGTGGCAAAAGCAGGAGGTGAAAGATGCCTGGCAGGAGGCCATCAGGTAGGGATTGCTGTGAATAGACAGAACGAGGTACAGAAAAGATGCAGAGTGGAGGGGGTTGTCAGGGAGAGGGAGGAGGGTGGCAAAATACCGTGTTGTCGGAGCCAGGCTGCATTCTTCCTACGACCTGGGTCTCCATCAGGCCCAGCAGTGGCAGTTTCTGTGAAGTCTGGCAGGCAGGACCTGCCTGGGTGCATCTGATCTTCCTGCTGCAGACACCTTCATGATAAGCCCCCAATTCTTCACAACTGTGTCTTTGTTCCTACGAAGCCCTAGTACAGGTGTTCTACATTGTCCCCTGGGTCGATTTTCATCAGGACCTGGAGTTTCCCGGGAGTGAAGTGACCTGCAAAGTGGTGGAGCTGGACTGTGAACACAGTTTCATCGATTCCAAAGCCGGTGGTGATGTGGCTGTGTCCGAGGCATTCTAATGTCTAATGCTTTCATTGATACGGCGACAAATAAAGCTAACTGGGTCAACCCCAGCCTCTTCCCAGGTGATGCAATGCAGGCTCTTATTTAAGACAAGCTTCATTTTTGTAGATCGTGTTTCCCTTTGCAGAAGCCGGCAACTCTGCAGTAATCTCCACGAATGGACCAGATGGTATCGCAAGCCGCGTGTGTATGTAACCAGCTCAGCTTCAACTTGGTGACAGTGATCACAGGAGGCAATGAGGACAGAAAACCATTTATGGTGGCTGAATATTGCACTATTAATTCATTGTTTTATCTGTTCTGAACCTCTCCTCCCTCTTCTTTTATAAATTGTATTTATAATTGATATATAATAATTGTACATATTTATGGGGGACACTGTGATGTTCCAAGGCATATCCACATTGCATAACGATCAGATCAGGGTAATTACCACATCCATCACTTTAAACATTTAATATTTCTTTGTGGTGGCAACGTTCGAGATCTTCTCCTCTAGCCGTCTTGAAATATACACTACCTTGTTATTTGCTATAGTCACCCTAACACCAGAACTTATTCTTCCCGTTTAACTGTAACTTTGTACCCACTGACCAACCCCTTCTGGTACCTGCCTTCTCCCTCCCCTCCCCAGCCTCTGATATTCTACTCCCTACTTATGTGAAATCAACTTTTTAAGATTCCATATATGAGTGAGATCACGTGGTGTTGGGTGCTTCTGTGCCTGGCTTATTTCATTTAACATAGTGTCCTTCGGGTTCATCCATATGGCCACAAATGATAAGATTTTATTCTGTTTCATGGCTGAATAGAATTCCATTGTGTGCGCGTGTGTATACATACCACTCTCTTTATCCATTCATCTGTTGATGGGCACCTAGGTTGATTCCTTATCTTGGCTATTGTGAGTATGCTGCAATAAACATGGGATTGCAGATAGCTTTTCCTCATACTGATTTCATTTCCTTTGGATATATATCCAGTAATGGGATTGCTGGATCATATGGTTGTTCTATTTTTAATTTTTTGAAGAACTTCCATATTGCTTTCCATAATGGCTATACTAATTTACATTCCCACCAACAGTATATAAGAGTTCCCTTTCCTCTGCATCCTTGCCAGCATTTGTTATTTTTTGTCTTTTTGATAATAGACATTCTAACCGGGGTGAAGTGATATCTTTGTGGTTTTGATTTTCATTTCCCTGATGACGAGTGACATTGAGCATTTTTTCATGTATCTGTTGGCCGTCTGTATGTATTCTTTTGAGAAATGTCTATTCATGTCTTTTGCCCATTTTTTAATAGGTTACTTGGTTTTTTGTTATTGAGTTGGTTGAGTTCTAGAACAATCTCCAGAACTCTTTGCATCTTGCAAAATGGAAACTCTGCAACCCAATTAAACAGCTTCCCATTCCCCCCTCTCCTCAATCCCTAGTAACCACCCTTCTTTTTTTTTTTTTTTTGAGACAGAGTCTCGCTTTGTTGCCCAGGCTAGAGTGAGTGCTGTGGCATCAGCCTAGCTCATAGCAACCTCAAACTCCTGGGCTCAAGCAATCCTGCTGCCTCAGCCTCCCAAGTAGCTGGGACTACAGGCATGTGCCACCATGCCCAGCTAATTTTTTCTATATATATTAGTTGGCCAATTCTATTCTATTTATAGTAGAGACAGGGTCTCGCTCTTGCTCAGGCTGGTTTCAAACTCCTGACCTCGAGCAATCCACCCACCTCAGCCTCCCAGAGTGCTAGGATTACAGGCGTGAGCCACCGCGCCTGGCCTAGTAACCACCCTTCTACTTTCTGTCTCTATGAATTTGACTACTCTAGGTACCTCATATAAGTGGAATAATACAAAATCTATATTTTATAGTTGTCATTTTCACTAAAATAACAATTTAAAGAAACTTTACTGAACTCAAATTCCTTATAATTTATAGACACTCTGAATATTCAATAGCCTAATTATTTAGCCACTGTAGGATGACCAGCCCATATTTTACTTTTTAGAATTTCCCAAATGAGCTATGGTAGACAGCTTCTTTGTTAATCTTCACGATGACTGCACCAGATGGTATCCTAAGTCCTATGTGGATATAACCAGCTCAGTTTCAACTTGATGACACTGCTTCATCACTGTTGAATCTATACAATCTGTACACTGGTGGTCCTTCGCAATTTGCCTCCCAGAGAACACTTGGCAACCTCCAGAGACATTTTGGGGGGACAGATACCCCCAGCATCTAGTGGATAGAGGCCAGAAATGCTGCTAAACATTCTACAATGCACAGGACAACCTCCCACAACAAGGAATTATGTGGCCCCAAATATCCATAGTATTGGAGTTGGGAAATCCTGGTCTAAACAGTAGTGACATTTCCCTGCTCCAAGTGGAACACAATTTTCCAATCAAGGAATCATAGCTAACGTAACAGAATTGAAAAGTGTCTCCTTTCTCTGAAAAGAGATCTAGGGAGCCTCTAACTGCCTCAGTTTCCTACCAACAAAAATATTTCTGATCAGTCCACTTCCCTGTTTAGTGATTCCAAAACTTGACTGTATGTGATGCTTTTATAACATTTTCCTATACCCTACTTTACATTTTTTGGCATTTTATTGTGGAAACCACAAACTGTACCAGTATTTCAGCTTTTTGGAGAGGACTTTTTGGCTAGGGCTCCTTCTTTTAGTTATTATTATGCAAGAGTACTTTCACATTCTTGGCTTTTGAGTGGTCTGAAAGATGGATGTAATCCACGAGTGTATTTCTTTGCAGCAAATATCTCCACATTAGTACCACCAGGTAGCAATTAATCTGAAATATACAGTGCCTACATAATTCTCTCCACTTAGCAGCCAACATCTTGCAATATAGAAATCTTCGAAATTCCAAGTACTACTATTTCCCTGATTTCCCAGAAGAGGAAGTAAAACTGGACATGGTGGACGTTATTTAAGAGTTCTAATTTAAAGCCGGCACGGTGGCTCACGCCTGTAATCCTAGCACTCTGGGAGGCTGAGGCGGGCGGATTGCTCAAGGTCAGGAGTTCGAAACCAGCCTGAGCAAGAGCAAGACCTCATCTCTACTATAAATAGAAAGAAATTAATTGGCCAACTAATATATATATAAAATTAGCCGGGCATGGTGGCATATGCCTGTAGTCCCAGCTACTCGGGAGGCTGAGGCAGGAGGATTGCTTGAGCCCAGGAGTTTGAGGTTGCTGTGAGCTAGGCTGACGCCACGGCACTCACTCTAGCCTGGTCAACAAGCGAGACTCTGTCTCAAAAAAAAAAAAAAAGAGTTCTAATTTAGAAGCAATCAAGAGTAGCCTTAGAATCTATGGGCTAGTCAGTGACTAAATGAATCCCTGAATTTAAGTTAAATACTCAGTGGTGTAGTTAACATCTCCACAATGTCAAACAAAAAGTAAAGGAGGCCATGGTTTTGAACTGAGCCCCTACACTGTGCCCCAACAGAAAGATCAAACCAAAATGGAGTCACTCATGCTAAATGTCACATAATCAAACTGAAATTTGAAGAAAGCAGATAGATCCCAAACAGGCCAGTTTTTCCTGAAAACTGAAGATTCTAGTGTAATAAGACAGTCCCCTCTGCTTTAACCCTTAAAAAAATGTAACCTGACGTTAACCGATCAGTTATTTTTCTATTGTTCTGTTTCCTGGTTCCCACCTCACAATATTCACTATTCTGCCGCTGCCCAGTAGGAGCTCTCATTCTATTTCATAGAATGGAGGCTGCAAATAAAATTGCAAATAAAAGCCAGTTAGAACTATAAGTAAATTTGCTGTCATTTTGTCTCCTGGCAGAATGATGCTGTTAAGTACCCTATACCGAGTGAGTGAGTCAGTGTCTCGTCAGTGAGGATTCTAATTAGGGTAAGTTTCAGAAAACCCAACCCCAAGTGGCTTAAAGAAAATGAGACTATACTGACATAACTGAGCCGTGTCAGGGGGAGCTGGATTGGGACCTTAAAGGGATTGGCTGAGGCCTTCATCTCTCTCATCCTTCCAGCTTCAAGTCCAGCAAGACAGCACAAGAAAGAGGGACCAATCCCCCAGAGCCTCCTCCAAACCACACTGCCCACCACTGGGGCACGCGCCACCCTGGGGCCAGGCCTGAGCCTCCAGCCCCACCAGGGGTGTGGAGGGGTGGGTCCGCCACACCCAGAGCACACCACTGAGAGAAGGGAGCAATGGCCCTGGGGGCCACGTGTGCTGTTAGCAGCAGAAGAGGAACTAGATGCTGGGCCATCCAAACAGCAAATGACCACTACTAGCGTAAAAAATAAATATAACCCATGATGGAACAAAGTGAAGAAAACACATGGGCCAGCTAACTTTTTAGCATTGAAAGTTTTTCAGTGGTTTTATGATGTTTTATTCCCTTGGTCATCCCATGACATAGTTAATTTCATGTAAATATGGCTACTCCCTAGTAAGGGAGGAAACTAGAGCCCCGAGTGACTTCTCTGAGTTCCTTGATCCATGGAGGGCAGAGACCCAACTAGAAACCAGGCCTTGAGCTCCTAAAGTTGCCTTCTATTCATCCTGAGGACAGAACTACTGTGTTTACAGATTATTATGTAGGAAAATTTTTTAAAAAGTACCCTTGGCTAAGTGTCTGCTTCAGATAGGGAAAAGAATCTACTGCCCAGGTGCCTAAAAGTGTTCATGTTCTATGTAATGCACCTAGATTGCTTTGGCTAATCGTTTTATCTGCAGAGTTTAGGCTGGAAGAGTTCAAAGAGTAGGATGGAAATGTAAGTCATATGTCCTGGACTTTTTAGACTGTGCATGAAATCAGAAAAGTCTTGGTAAAGCATAGAACACACAGAAGACTTCAGAGAGATTCGTGCTCTCTGCCCTTGGTTTTCATTCGAGCTGTCATTCAAGGGCAGCCCTCTGTAGAGAAATGACGTTGGGCTCAGTGAGTAGCAAGGTTTTGGGGGGTGAACAGCCACTGAATGACCAACCTGGCAATGGTTTGCCTTGTATTCTTTTCGGGGTTAAAATCCTTCTGAAAGGTGCTGGGTGAATCGAGCCTTTGTGATTTGTTTGGTGGTGCTCTGAAAATTTGTCTCTGTTCCTAATTTTAGAACCAGCAGCTGTCACTGCTTTGTTCTAACAAGTCGGTAATTTTCCATTCCCCCTGCTTACTCATATTTCCC